ATTTTGTTTTAAAGAATAAGAAAACAAGCAGAGTAGAATGGAGTTTTTATCAAGCCTGAGTGAAAATGATGAATTTATAGATTTTAAGCAACAGAAGATGTTCCAAAAGAAGATTAATGTATTTGATTATATTAAAATGTAAACTTTGAAACAATGAGGCATCATGTAAATGAAAGGGAGATAGCAAGCTGAGAAAAATAGCTGTGGCACTTATGACAGAAAAGGGTTGTCTTTTGATAATTACCTAATTATTGAAAAATTATTAAACAAGTGATAAAAATTAACTTAAAAAACTATCAATGGGGCCATTAACCAATTAGGACATGAAGAGAATTCACATTAGAGGAGACACAGTTAGTCCATAGGGACATGGAAATGTCCAGCCTCAGTATCACTCCAAGAAATAGAAACTATTAATAAAACAATAACAAGGCACCACTTTATACCTCATAAGTGATCAATATTTTAAAACAATGGTAATATTCAAGGCTGGAAATAATATGAAACTAGAGCACTCCCACAACTTTGATAGCAATGTAAATTGCTACTCTTTTGAGAGAACAATTTGGCAACCCTTATAAAAATTCACAAATGCAAAAGGTGATGTAGCAAGATGGCAGAATAGGAGGTCTCAGCTTCACTACACCCTTCCCTCACCCCATGGAAAGTTCAACCAATAACTATCCACAGACAAGAACACCTCGGTGAAAATCCCCATGGTTGGAAATAAGCCTGAGTCACCTGTATGGTCCACAGAATGAAATAAAAACCACATGTAAAGGGGAAAAGAAACAGTTTCACTTTGACTGCATTGCCCCTCCCTCTCCCCCAAGTTGGCACAATGCCACACAGAGAAGATTCCCCAAGGACTACAGTTTCTACAGAGGGAAAAGAGAACCAGCTCCCGTAGCATTCCAAGACACTTCCCAGGAAGTCCACTCCCATCTGACCTCAAAGGGAACACAAAGGAAAACATCATGGTTAGATCATGTGGGGTTAGTTAGAAACAACGCAAGGAGGTGGAGACCATAGCTACCAACACACAGATCTTAGGGTTAGCCCTGTGTATCTACCAGTGGTGGTGCACGAGGTATCATGTAAATGAAAGGGAGATAGCAAGCTGAGAAATGGAATGAGAAGGTCCAAAAAATATTTAATAGATTTAATAGGAGTTCCAGAAGAAAAGACCAGTGAGCATGAAGTGGAGAGAATATTCAAAGAATAATAGCTGAGAACATTCTACAATTCATGAAAAATACTAATTCTCAGATTGCAATAGCATGAATCTAAAAAGGTTAAATGGACAGATCTCTATACCAAGACACATGTAGGGAAATTGTGAAGTAACAAAAATAAAATCTTAAAGACAATTGGAAAAAAAATCACCTGTGAAGGAATGAGAGTCAGACTGACAGCAGACTCTCACGGCAACAATGGAAGCCAGAGGCCATGAAGAGAACCTTCCCAGCAAAGAGAAAACAGCTCTCAAACAAGAACTTTGTTTCCTGCTAAATTCTCATTAAATAGTAAGGGGAAAATAAAGATTTTTTCCAAAACAAATACTGAGCTCACTACTCACAGGATCTCACTAAAAGGACTATCCAAGGACACACTTCATGAAATCAGCTCCAGATAGAAGGAGATGTAAGAAGCAGTGATGGACAAACAAGCTGGTAAACATGGGAAAACCTGAACAGCATGGACCATGTAAAACAATAATAGCAAGAATAACTACTTCAGGTACTTCCAAAACAAGGCAGAAGCAAAACACACATCAATGATAACACGTCAGTTGAAGGTGCTTGTTTTATTCAGGACAGTAGAAATATTAATTAACTATAGACTTTATAAGTTTAAACACATGTGAAAAATTTAAGGAAAACAATCTTAAGAATAGAACTAAAAGTATTTAAGTCTTAAAACAGTAAAAGAAAAGAAGAGTCATAAAGAAAACTCAGCCAGTACAAAACAAGACAGAAAAGGAATAAAGAAAAGAAGGAGCAGAAGAAGTCACAGAAAATACAAAATAAGTGGTAGGGAAAAAATCCAAACACATCAATCACAATAAATGAAAGTAGACCAAACTTGACAGTTAAAAAAAAAACAAACATATTTTCAATTTGGAATTTAAAAAATATAGATATTACTATATGCTATTTTATAAGAAATACCTAAAATATCAGAATAAAAATAAAATAATGGGAAAAGATATACATGACAAACACTATATTTTAAAAAACTTCTATGAGTATTTATTTATTTTTTGAGACAGGTCTCATTCTGCCGCCCAGCCTGGAGTACAGTGGCACAATCATAGCTTACTGCAGCCTGGAACTCCTGGGCTCAAGCCATCCTCCTGACTCAGCCTCCCAAGCAGATGGGACTATAGGTGGGCACTACCACGCTTGGTTAATTTTTCTATTTTTTGTAGAGACGGAGTCTCATTCTTGCTCAGGCTGATCTCGAACTCCTGGCCTCAAGGAATTCTCCCACCTCAGCCTCCCAAAGTGCTAGGATTACAGGTGTGAGCCACCATGGCCAAGCCTATAAGTATTTTAATATCAGATATGATAGACCATAAAAGGCATTCATACGGATAAGAAAAGGTGATTATATAATAACAAAGAAACAGTCGGCCAGGAAGATATGACAAATCCGTACTTCAGATATATGTGCTAGGAGACATGTATATAATACATAATTCATAGTCTTAGCACTTGGGTGTTCATTCTGATGTTGTTTCTTGTGTCCTGTTTCTACTGAGAACTCTGGGTGAATGTGCAAAAGACTCAGCAAAAGGGACCTAAAAATCCCTGGGTCCCTGGCTAGAACAGTTTATAGCAACACCACAACCCTGGCCACCCTTAGCCCCCATTGTATTCTTTACAGACATTGTCACTCTGGTGAGCCACTCTGGGTTGGGACTATTTGTTATTTGATTCTGCATTTTTAGCACCTACCACCATGTCTGGTAGAGAAAGGCACTCAATCAACGCTAGCTGAATGACAGTTTATGCATCCACTAAAATTATAATTTTGAAGACTATGAAGCCAATTGAAAAATGTCTATAATATGCATTTCTATTTTAAAAGCACAACATAAAACTATAGAGGTACTCTGGTTACAAAAATTATATATTTATATAGGTACAAAATGGAAGACAATGTGGAACAGTGAAAATAGTAAATTTGTTAGGTAAGGTCAATGGTGGCTTTTTGTTTTTAATTTTTATTATTGCTATTAAATTATTATTTGTATAATTTTAAAAATGAAATAAGAAGAAATGACTATAAAAGTTTAGCTATCCAATAATGTAATTCCTGAAAACTTTCACCATATATAAGAAGGACAATAGAGTTGTCTTCTAAACCATGGCAATATTTACTCCTAGGGCCAGATTTCGCTTTTCACCATAAAAACCATAATGTTAGTACACAGTGATTCTCTCTGGACCCTCTCTCTGGCACTACCGAGGAAAGTGCAGTGCTGTGGGGAGCGGATGCAGCTGCTACAGCTTCATGCTGTGTTTGCCTTCCCCTTCTCTCATGCCTCTCCTTTCTAGGAGCTCCCCAGGCATCCACCAATTACCCAGAGTTTTACAGCACAATATTTCCTTTAGCTTCCACCCTACTTCCCCTGAGAAAAGGCTCTCGGCCTCACCTGGATAGAAAACCAGGTAAATTAAAGAGGATATTCCTTACCCAGATTTTTGTCTATAATATACCATTTCCAACTGAAAGGAACTGGGTTCCTTGGAGAAATGGCTAATGCCAGGTCCGGGCAGGAGATGTTCAAGATGAGCCTGAGGAGTTTTGTCACAAGAGAAATCAAGAAAGCTATCCAAGACTATTTGGGTCATGTCAACAAGACTCAGGAGCAAACTTGAAAAGGCTTCTACTGGCCCAGATAGAACAAACTGAGCATCAATAAGAATAATAACTGTAATGAATTTAGACACATAAAATATGTTTAAATTCATGAGTTCATAATAATTATTAAGAAAAATAATTAAGAAAAAACACTCATTGATCACTTTTGGAGGATGCTAGGGAACTAGTTCATTATTTTGGAAAGTAGAAAATGAAGAGAAAGAATCAAGCATATCCTGTCTTTCTCACACTAATGGTGCCTCACTGGTACCAAATAGTAGGAGGGGGCTGTTTTCATACAGAAGTACTCCACCAACAAAGAGAAGAAATGATAGACAAAGAATATCACCACTTTATAATCTCTAGTACTAGAGTTAATAAATCTAGGTATGATCAACAAAGGTTGCTAAGATCATAAAAGAGACAACCTGTCAGTATATGTTTGCCACCACCTATCTTGCCAAAGAAACTGTGAACAGAGGTCTATACAACTAGCTATCAATTTAGGGAAGGGAGTTGGGGGAGGGAGACAGGGAAATATGTTAAATGTCACTGGAGGTTGCAATCAGTCAATTCTAGAATTTAAGAAAGTCCACAAAACAATCTAGATTACTTCTAAAATTAATAAATAAAGCATATAGATTTTTAAAAACTGTGGTAGATTAACCAATTGCAATGTACTGACTTAATATGGATTGTGATTTAAAAAAATTATTGAAGAAAACATGAGATATGCAGTTAAATTTGAACCTTGACTGGATATTTATTAATATTATTGATAATACTATTAGATGTGAAAAAAGTATTTTCACCTTGTTTTTAAAAAGAGTTCTTATCTTTTAGAGAGATATGGGGAAATATGATGTCTTGTATTTATTTTAAAAATATCCAGGATTAAGGAAAATAAGCAGGGAAACAGATGAAATCAACTAGCCAGGACTTGAACATTGTTAAAGCAGGGTAGTGGGTGTGTTAGCAGATTCATTATATTATTCTCTTTATGTTTGTATATGTTTAAAATTTTCAATAATAAAAAGTCTAAAACATTAATAAAAAATAAATGAAGCTGTTCCTTATTCTCACAGTTGACGTTTAGGGAAAAAATGTCAAGGAAACAATGGGACTCTTACCTTTTCATTAACTGGATAAAAACTCTTCTTGGTAATTGGTATACAAAGGTGTCAAAGACAATCTTTAGGTAATTAAAAGACACATAACCACTTTTAGATGGGTCCCCTGCACCGAGAGCCTTTTCAATCTTTTCATAGGACTTCCCAAACTGCAATAAATTAAAATTAGAGCATGGCATTCATGAAAATCAACTTCATGGAGCTATTCAACCATTTTATTTTTACCAAAACTTCTTCACATTTTCCTCTCCAAAAACTGATCAAAAAGGTTACTATGGCATGTACTGAACTTCAAATGTTTAATTGATGAGCTCACTACAAAACAGTATTCCCAGTCACAGCTATTCAATTGACAAGGCAGACAAGTTTCTCAGGGAAAAACAGCACATATAATAGCTCCACCTCAAATTTCAGAGCTAAAAATACTTGCTGGATCTGCCAGTTTGATACATCTTTCTTAATAAACGTTCAACCATTCCCTACTGTGAGCCCACGCTACGATTCTCCTGATTAAGTCAGGCCAATCAAATAAAAAGACTGGTAACATTTTTTAAAAATAGTAGTAGTTTTTAAAGTAAGGAAAATAATTAATATAAGGACTGTATAAACATAGTATACACTGGACATTTCTTTATCATTCTTTTTTAAATGGCAAATTACAAAGAACCTAGATGAATGAGCTTTGCTTATAGGACTTCTAAAATGCAATAATGTAGGTTAATCGCTGATTTTTATATGACTTATAAAAATACTGTGAAGATTGTTTTTTATTTCCAAAGGTTTTCCTGCTGTTTACTATTGAGTAATAACAATATTCTTCAATATTTTCAATGCTCTTACTTTTCTAAATTCAATTTTTTCTGCTAACTGGGATAAGAAGATAAGCAAAAGAACCATCAATTTGGTATAAAAAGTGACTTTCTTAAAAAGCTGCTAGAACATGGAATTATATGTACAAGAGTCTCGATCCACTAAAAGAATAAGAAGCATATTCATTAAATCTTCCTTAGGGTGCACAGGAATATTGGAACTCCAAAGGGAAAAATCTTTAAAAATATTATGAGACCTATATTTCTTAAAGAAGACCTAAGTTTCTTAGGAAGTTACATAAAATTAACCCAAAATGTGGCTAAATTTGCCCATGTCTCTTTCAGGGAGGTGAGTTACATCTGACACACTGCCTGGGGGAAACTGAATCAAGAGCCTGGTGTGGAGGAGGGTCTCAGTGTATTTATTGGACTAATGAAGCCCATTTCTAATATCTTAATGACATTTGGTCTCCAGTATTTTTTTTCAGGAGAGCAGTTCTGAATGATCAAGAGCTTTTAGAAAAAGAACAAAGTATGAAACAGAAATACCGTCTTTGTGACAGTAGTATCTTTTTACAAATTTTCATTGTTACTGTTCATAAAGAAAGTACAAGCCTAGTTTTAAAAAATGCAAGCAATTCAGCAAAGTATAAAAAAGGAAATAAAAATGCCTGGAAGTCTCACGATCCACAATTTTGTATATAGTGTTCCAAAATCAACATGATCATATAAACATATATTATAATTTTATAAAAATGGAATCATATTACATTTTCAGGTTAGACAAGTGCTTTTTTTTAATTTTCTCTATGGTGTACAGACATTGTTGACATAGACAAGTGCTTTCTTCATTTAACAATGTGTTATGAAATTTTTCCCGTAAGAACTAGCATGTATCTATATGATTCTTTTAAATGATATATAGTATGCCATTACATTATTGAGGGACCAGCAAAGGGTACACCATTTTCCATCCTTATCATCTTTATGCATTGAATTTTTGTAAACATTTCCCTGATCCCAAATCTAAATAAAGTGCCTGCTGTTATTCTCTCACCTAACATTCTGGCCTTTTCTGTCATATGAATTAAAAAAATTATTATTTATGAATGTGTTTATTCATTTAACATTTCTCTCCCTGATGTAAGGTCGCGTGATCTCTATGACAGCAAACACTGTGTCTGTTTTGTTCACTAATAATTATAATATCTACAATAAAGCCACAATATTGGCATGTGGTAGGCACTCAATAACTATTTGTTAAAAGTGAATATATTTATACCAAAAATCTTCTAAACAAAAGTTGCAAGATATAAAAAGCTATTCAACACATTAGTAATCAGGAAAATGAACATTAAAATCATAGCTGAGATACCATTTCATCTGGATCTGACTGGCAAGTATGTAAAAGCCTGACAATATTAAGTGTTGGTGAGCATGTGGAACAACAGGAATTATCATCTGCTTCTGGTGGGAGTGTAAATTGATATTGTGGAAAACAATCTAACGCTGCCAATTAAATCTGAGGGGCATGTTGTCAACAATCTAGCAAGCAATTCCACTTCTAGGTGCATTTGTCATTCCTAGCTACAAACCCTGGCACCTGTGCACCAGAAGCTATGTCTGCAGCCATTGATAGTGGCATTGTTTGGATTAACACAAACAGGATGCAGCCCAAATGTCCATCCATAGGAGAAAGTATATCTTGTGTGCTAGTTAGATAATAGAAACTGCACAGCAGTGAAAATGATAATACAGCTACATCCACAATGTGTGTGTGTGTGTGTGTGTGTGTGTGTGTGTGTGTGTGTGTGTGTGTGTGAATCTCATCCTGAGCATGAGGCGGCTAGAAATAGATGGCTTCGCAGCTATGCAAACATAGAAAGAAAGCAACATTAGGCAAAAGACAAATAACCCAGTCTGTGAGAAAACATAACATAAAAAATAAATACATTCCCTGCAAGAATTTCATGCCACAAAAAGGAACTAAATAAGAAAATTAATTAATGAAAAGAAAATCGTGAAGATGATAAAACAATGAAAGAGATGAGAGGGGATAAGCTAAGAAAATAGAAGCTAAGAAAATAGAAGACAAAAATAACATAATTATAGGAACTAATAAATTGGAAACAGCAAGAATAAGAGACAAAAATGAAATTTAAAATAATATTAAAGCAGTGGCTGGAAACCATGAAGGCAGAGGAAAGAAGAAAAGGACTAAAGCAACTTGAGAGAAGACGACAGCTATCAAGGATAAGCAAAGATGATCCAATATAAGAATAACTGGGAATACCACTGAAGAAAGGATGGAGGGAGGAAGAAAGAAAGACAAGGAGAAAGAGGGACAGGGGATATGATTTAGTAATACGACACAGGAAATTTTCCTGAAACGAAGGAAGAATGAATCTGTATGTCAAAAGAACACACTGTGTTCCAGGAAACTTTGTCAAAATGTTCCATGCCAAGACATAGCTTAGTTTTTCTTTTTTAATTTCAAGGATCAAGAAAAAAATACTTTAGGCATCCAAGTAGAAAAAGGAAATCACCTACAAGGGGAAAACAATCTGCTTGACCCAGGTTTCTCCACAGCATCATGCAGTGCCGGAAGACAATGGAAAAAATATTTAGTGCATTATGAGGAAAAGAAAGTACGATGGAAGAATTACACACAGCCAAGCTGCTGTGCAAGTATAGAATCAAAAAGCACATAGTCTCAAATATGAAAAAAAATAAAGGGAAAAGCACCCATGAGCCTTTCTTAAGGAAATTACTTGACAGTGAAATCCAGCCAACCAAAAAATACATCAAAATAAAGAACTCTGAGAGAGATAAACTGGGGTAAGCGTTGAGCTATAGTGATGCACACTAAATTCGTGTAAATATAAAACAGAGTCAAAAACAACATGGGGAATTATGGTGACTGAACAAAATATAAATATTATAAACTTGACTAAGGACAAACTATAAACAACAAAAATTGTGACGTGGGAGGGAGGGGTAAGGATAAAAACACAAGTGCCCGTGACTTCGAGTTCCTAGCAGAAAGCCAGCCCATGCTGTCTGTAATTGAAACATCCTTCAAAAACATCATAAGTTCTCCAGCTCTTAATGGCTTTTTAAATCTCTTTTCTTATCTAGAGTCCCCTTGGTTACCTAATATGCCTTGTAGGAAACAAATATTCATCCAAAGTTCAAAAATGTTTGCGGTTTCTCTTGAGGCCAGTATTGTAGGGGTAAGAGCAAGGACAATAAAGCTACACTGCTTGGGCTTGTTTAAACTTGGCTCCAGTACTTACTGGCAAGTCATTTAAGCCTGCATGCCTCAGTTTCCTCAACTTAAAACTGGGATAACATTAATACCTAACTCCTGGAGTTGCTGTGAAGACTAGATAGAATATCTAGAGAACACTTAGAACACTGCTTAGCACCTAGGAAGCCCCCATAAAAGGGTTAATTATAATGGTGATCATGACATTACCTTTCATCTGGTAAATTTAAGGAAATTTAAATTAAATATATTTTATTTGTTTGTTTGTTTTTAAGAGATGAGTCTCACTGGGTTACCCAGGCTGGACTGCAGTGGCACAATCATAACTCACCTGCAGCCTCGAACTCCTGGACTCAAGTGATCCTCCTGCCTTAGCTTCCCAAGTAGCTGGAACTAAAGGTGCTAAATGTTTTATTTTTTAAAAGGAACATGATCCTCTTCTTATAAAATTATTTCTATCTACGTATCCACTCACCCACCCACCAACCCACCCACTGTGCAGCCATCCTTCTATATATGGATGAAGAGAGGTCTAGAATTATGTTCACCAAATGTTGCCTTTGATTATTTCTGGGTGGTGGACTGTGAATAATTTATTACTTTCTTCTTTGTACTTTTCAGAATTGCTTACATTTTTTGTATGTTCATGGATTTTGTAATGGTCATGTTTTTATGAAAACAATAAAGTCATTAACAACATAGAGAAAACAAGTGTTACCAATTTACCAACAGACATTAAAGTGCTCACTTCTCTCACACCCTTACCAATACTGGCCTTGCTAGTTTTTCTTCATTGACATTTTCCATTGAAAATTTTATATTAATAATTTGTAAAAGTTCTATGTATGTCAGGAAGAGTTATTATTTAATTGTCATTTATGTTGCACATATTTTGCCAAGTTTATCATATGTTTATACAAAGTTTTGCTGTATAAAACCTTTTTCATTTTCATGTAGTCAAATTTATCAGTCTTTTCCTTTATGGCTTTTGGGCTTTACTTCATGCTTAAAAGAGATCCTAAATTTCAAGGCTAAAAATTTTTCACTCATACTGTTTATTTTTAAATTTAAATAGTTGATACATATAGAATTTATTTTCGATGAAGAGTAGAAGATTACAAGCTTACTTTTCCCAAAATGGCTGGCTAGTGACTTATTTCAATAATTACTGAATAATCCACTCCCTGCTCCCATTATATTTTATTGAAATGCCTCATATCATAGGTTAAATTCACATATAAAGATTGGTTCATTATCCAACTATCCTTTTAAAACAGTTTGAATGTCCATTGCTGGGCCAGTGCTAAAAAGACTTAAAAGTCTTAACTTTTAAGCCTTTATAAAATATTTTATATGTGATAGAATAAGTACTCTTTCGAAAAATTATAATTTTTTGAAAGAAAAAATATATATTCAGATACAGTGAGAGCAGGCATTAATACTAAATCTTCCAATCTAAGAATTAGAAAAGACCTCTTCATTTATTCAAGTTTTCCTTTATGTTACTCAATAAAGTTATATCATTTCTTTATATAAGTCTTATATGTTTATTATTAGAGTTAGTACATGAAAGTTAGTACATTAGAGTTAGTAGCAGAAAGGATGTACTTAACAATTGGTTTCTCATGGCCATCACTATTAGCAATAGTCTTACTGTTACTATTGCTGCTTTTAGGAGATGGAATAGGTTTTAGGGCTTGAGGACACATAGGCAAGATCAAAAGAAATTTTAGAAATAATGTCTAGTCCTTAGTTTTCTACAGTTGTCTTCTTTGCTATGTTTATACTCTAGATAACTGTGGCTTTAGGAAAACATTCTCACCTCTTTGCAAAAGGTCCTCTCAATTTCATCTAAGGAGTAGGTTTTCCCGGTATCTTCAGGTGACACAGAATTGAGTAAATGCTCCTTTTTGGAATTTTTGCCTTGTTGACACTCTAATGAGACATCTATTAAAACAAAATAGCTTTAGTTTATTAACATTGTCAAAGGTAAATTTAAATATTGTTTCCTCTTAATCATCACCAGTCTGGCAAAAATTAAGACTTGAATAAACCAAGAAAATGATGAACCGTCTAATAAATTGCATTGAAATGACTGGATGAACATTCTGGAAAAAATAAAATTAGTCTCCTACTTGTTATGTTACTCTAGGATAAACTCTAGATAGAGTGAAATGTACATTAAATGGAATTTAAAAATCATAAAAGTAGTAGTAGAAAATTAAGATGACTATTACATAATACATAATCTTTGTGTGAGATTGCCTTTCTTGCTGTGAAGAAACCACTAATGCCAGAAATGATTTAAATAATGGATAGGACTGACAATATAAATACTTAATATTTTTGGCTTAAAAAACCCACAAAAATAACAGTGAAAAAATGAGTAAGGAAAAAATATTGCTAACATACATGAGAAATACTGGTCAATTTTCATAATATATGAGTAGCTCTTATGAATCAATAACATAAACATAAATATCCAATAGAACAGTAGACAGAGGTTATAGACAGGTAATTCACATAAAAAGAACTAAAAAAAGTCCAATAAATGTATGAAAAACTTCTCAAGCTCATTGATAATTTTAAAAGTTAACATTTTTTTTCTGCCAGTAAAATAGGCAAGGATTAAAGGAAATGGTAAGAACCATTTCTGGCTTGTGTATAAAAATCTCATACTTGAATATACTTAAATCCCCTTCCAGAACTTTATAATCATGGAATAACAGGACCATTCAACAGATGTATATGGATAAGGATATTTTCTGTACCATTTGTAAGAGAAAAAAATTGAAACAATCTAAATGCCCATTAATAGAAGATATCTTTTATAGATTATGGTTCATCAAATCTATGAAATACTATCCAGACATTAAAAACAAAGATGCATGTCTAAATTAATGGATGTGGAAAATTTTTCTTGCTATATATTGTTTCATGATTTTAAAAAGGACAATTAGCATAATTTAATTTTCATTTTAAAACATTTTTTTATCTTCCTATCTATCCATTCATCTATCCATGTATGCATCAGAAGCAAATCTGGGAGATAATACACCAAAAAGAACACAGTAGGCCAGGTGTGGTGGTTCACGCCTGTAATCCTAGAACTCTGGGAGGCCGAGGTGGGCGGATCATTTGAGCTCAGGAGTTCAAGACCAGCCTGAGCAAGAGCAAGACCCTGTCTCTACTAAAAAAATAGAAATTAGCTGGACAACTAAAAAACAAAACAAAACAAAATTATATATATATATTTATGTATATTTATATATATATATAAAATTAGTGGGGCATAGTGGCACATACTTGTAGTCCCAACTACTTGGGAGGCTGAGGCAGGAGAATTGCTTAAGGAATTTGAGTTTGCTGTGAGCTAAGCTGATGCCACGGCATTCTAGCCCAGGCAACAGAGTAAAACTCTGTCTCAAAAAAGAAAAGAACACAGCACTAGGATTCAAGTGGTAGGATTACAGGGAACTGTTATTTTGGGCCTTTTTGTTTTCTGGCCTTTTTTTAGCAAGCAGGTATTACTTTTATAATAAAAGAGAATGAAATAAATCTAAAATATAGCCACTTTCTTTCTCAAAGTCGACTGCAAAGAATCACAAATGGTTTCCCAGATTTATTTCCTAAAATGCCTGAAAATAAGCTTCAGTCAAATTAAGCCTACTTAGCTACAATTAACAAACTGCCAGTCATCTGGAATTCCATTTCCTATCTCTTAAAAAAAAAAATGTCTCTCCCCACCACCCCCATGGCTTCCTCTGGGCTACATAATAAAACACAAAGTTGGTCCTTCAGAACATAGTCTGGAATTCTATGGCCTCAGTGGGCTGAGAATGAAACATGGGATCTTGGAGCACACAAGGGGCAAGAGGCCTCACTGAAAGATAAGAAAGCCAAGTCACACAACCAGGATCTGACTTGGTCCAGCACACAGAGGTCTCTGGACCCCTCTCTGAAACTTCATCCTGTCCTCACTCCCCCCTGTGACAATGGTACTCTAAAGGCGATTCATGGGAACACACCCACAGCACCCCTAGGGAAGCCCACTTGTACTCTGTTTAAACTATATGCCCTGCTTGGGAGGGTGGAGCGGGGTAAGGTGTGAGGCCTGCCCTTGGGAGCTGGGAGTCCAAGACCTGGTGCACATGCGCTGTAGCTGCTTTCCCAGGCTGGCTGGCAGAACCCAGGGGTGGCACATTCAGTGACTCCTCTCTCACCACAATTACACCAGGTTTCATTCTTTAGTGCAGCCTAGTGATTCCTGCCACCTTTTGATTTTCCCAAAATTTCCTCTGAAGGATCCTTGCTGATTTGAAACAGGTAAAGAAGAAATCCAAAGCTTAAAGTGGGTTATATACGTCATAAGTGCAGCAAAAGAAAACTAGCTCCCCAATATCATTTCTTCATGCACCCAAATAGATGGTGCTTTTGATAAGCAAGATGGTGATGGCTTATTAAGAACCCAAAGTAGCCAAAGCAGAAGTATGCAAAATTGATAGGATATATTGTTCTATATTTAGAAAAGTCAAAGCTAATGGGTTGCTGCAAATATGAAATAGAGACTCTCCTACAGAAGAAAGCAACAAACCTATAAACAGCTCTTGGCAATTAGATCTCATGTAACATATCCCCCAGACATGAACATACAGTAGCAAGTTTTATCCTTATCATTCATAATTCACACAGAGTAGAAAAGTAGGAGTTCATATTAAATCTAGAAATAGATACAAAGAATTCTTTAGAATTGTGATTAATTATGGATGTGAAATTTTTGGAACAAATGCAAATAGGTAAAGTATATATATATTTTTTCTAAGCTTTATAGGTCTTGTAAGGTAAAGTATATTTTTAAATTATTACTCTCTTAAGAATATCTTCCAAAAATGCTGAAACCATCATACAGAAAACAAATACAGTTGACCCTTGAACAACATATGTTTGAACTGTGTGGATCCACTCATGTACAGAATTTTTTCAATAAATAATGGGAAAATTTTTCAGAGATTTGGAACAATCTGAAAAAAATTCACAAATGAACTATGTAGCCTAGAAATATTGAAAAAACTTAATTAGGTATGTCATTAATACATAAAAATTACATAGATATCAGTCAATTTTATCATTTACTACCATAAAATATACACAAATTTATTGTAAGAACTTAAAATGTATCAAAACTTTTGCACAAAAACACCTAACAGACCTTGAATGGCTCCATTCACAGTTGAGAGAAATGCAAACCAATGTAAAGAGTCAATGCTAACACATTGACTATCTCACTAGAAAAAAAAATTTTTCTTTGGGGCCACAGTGTTTTATTATGAAAATAGAATAAAAACTTCAAAAACAAATGATCCCTTCTAATTTAATGAAAAATGTGTTATTTTTTATTGTTTTCTGTGTGTTTGTTTTCTGAGTTCTTGCAAATTGAAAAACAGATATCATAGTTCCCAAGGTGAAGAGACATGTGAGCTACCTATGCTTCATGAGGCCCTGGACTCAAAACTAACGTGAGTTAAATACAACTCACATGCAGTTAATGTATTAAATCATAACTCCATAAAATTAACTGTAGTACATACTGCATTACTGTAATAAGTTCATAGTCACCTCCTGTTGCTATGCTGTGAGCTCAAGTGCTGCAAGTATCTGCTTAAAATGCCATGTGATGCTAATTATCTCCATGTGAGCAGTTCTTCCCTCCAGTAAATTGCACATTGCAGTAAAAAGTGATCTCTTGCTGTTCTCGAATATTTTTCATTGCGTTTAGTGCAATACCATAATCCCTGAATACCAGGAAACCCATACAGAATGGCACTAGTGATGCTGGAAATTCTTCCAAGAAGCAGAGAAAAGTCATGACATTACAAGAAAAAGTTGAATGGCTAGATCTACACCATACATTGAGGTCTGCAGCTGCAGTTGCCCACCATTTCAAGATAAATGAATCCAACATAAAGACTCTTGGAAAAAAAGAAAAAGAAATTCATGAAGCTGTCACTGTAGGTACTCTAGCAGGCACAAAAACTTTGCACTTTTGGTGAAATACCTCTTTTTATCTCGTATTGAAAATGCAGCTTTTATGTAGGTGTGGGATTGTAATCTAAAAGGCATACCTATACACTCTAATTCAATAAAAAGTGAAGTCATTAGACAACTTCATGCAAAAGGAAGATGAAGGATCTAAAGCTAGAGAATGTAATGCCAGCAAAGGATGGTTTGATTATTTTACAAAGAGGTTTAGCTTTAAAGATATTAAGAGACCAGGAGAAGCAGCCTCTGCCAACCAAGAGGCAGCAGACAAGTTCTCAGGGGCCATTAAGAAAATCATTGATGAGAAGGGATACCTGCCTGAACATGTTTTTAATGCAGACAAAGTGCCCTATTTTGGAAAACAAAAATACTACAAAAGACATTTACCAGTATGGAAGAGAAGCAAATACCAGTATTTAAGGCAAGAAGGGATAGGCTAACTCTACTGTTTTGTGCCAATGCAACTGGATTTATGATCAGAGCTGTCTATAAAGCTGCTAACCTTTGAGCCTTGAAGGGAAAAGATAAACACCAGCTGCCAGCCTTTTGGTTGTACAACAAGAAAGCCTGGACAATGAGAACACTTGTTTTGGATTGGTTCAAAGAATGCTTTGTCCCTAAAGTCAGAAAGTACACTTCCAGTAAGGTCTTTTAAAGTTCTTGTGATACTGAACAATGCCCCTGGCCATCCTCATGAGTTAACACTGAAGGCATCAAAGTGGTCTACTTGCTTCCAAACATAACACATAATTCAACCCCTACATCAGGGCATCAAAGGTCCTTGAAGGCTTATTATACACAGTACTCTATGAAGTACTGCAGATGCCACAGGACAGAGACCCAATGGAGAGAACACCAATAGAAAAAACATCATCAAAGTCTGGAAGGATTACATCATTGAAGATGCC